CAAAAAGGAATGCTTATCCGCGGTCCAAATGCATGGTATCGGCAGCACTGGCACACCGCGGCGTGAGCAACTCTCTAGCACTCCTCTGGGCAACGCCTTGGTTGCAGCCGGTTGTCCGAACGAGCTTTGAAGCACCGACGAAACCGCATGGCTATTTGGGATCTGACAGGTTTGCGAATGCTTTCGGATTACACTGGCAAAAGGGAATGCTTATCCGCGGTCCAAATGCATGGTATCGGCAGCACTGGCTTCATGGCGTGTCCTTGGTAGTTGATTCTGCAACGTGTGGCTGAAAACATGGTTGCTTTTGGCCCTTTCTGCCTTGTGATTGAATGGAACTATGGGACGGAAGATTATGTAGTGGTTTCATAGCTACGGGCATGCTCTGGGTACAGTGGTTCCTTATGTGTGTTGTGCGTAACTTGACTCATCCGCGGCGGTCCAAATGCATGGTGTTGGCAGCACTGGCTTCGTGTCGTGTTCTTGGTAGTTGATTCTGCAACGTGTGGCTGCAAACATGGTTCCTCTCGGTCCTTTCTGCCTTGTGGTTGACTGGAACTATGGGACGGAAGCTTATGTAGTGGTTTAATAGCTACGGGCATGCTCTGGGTACAGTGGTTCCTTATGTGTGTTGTGCGTAACTTCGTGGCGTGTCCTTGGTAATTGATTCTGCAACGTGTGGCTGAAAAACAATGTTTTGCTGTTGGCCCCTTTCGCCTTGTGGTTTAATGAAAACTATGGACTGGATAGAGTACTGGAGTGGTTAAAATAGCTTACGGGAGATTTATGCTCTGGTACAGTGGTTTCTTTATGTAATGTGGGTTGCGTAACTTGACTCATCCCGCCGGCGTTCAAAAAATTGCATTGTGTTTTTAGCTACTGGCTTCTTGGCGGTGTTTTTCTTGGTAGTTGATTCTGCAACGTGTGGCTGCAAACATGGTTCCTCTCGGTCCTTTCTGCCTTGTGGTTGAATGGAACTATGGGACGGAAGATTATGTAGTGGGTTAATAGCTAAAGGCATGCTCTGGGTACAGTGGTTCCTTATGTGTGTTGTGCGTCTTCGTGGCGTGTCCTTGGTAGTTGATTCTGCAACGTGTGGCTGAAAACATGGTTGCTGTTGGCCCTTTCTGCCTTGTGGTTGAATGGAACTATGGGACGGAAGAGTATGGAGTGGTTTAATAGCTACGGGCATGCTCTGGGTACAGTGGTTCCTTATGTGTGTTGTGCGTAACTTGACTCATCCGCGGCGGTCCAAATGCATGGTGTTGGTAGCACTGGCTTCGTGGCGTGTTCTTGGTAGTTGATTCTGCAACGTGTGGCTGCAAACATGGTTCCTCTCGGTCCTTTCTGCCTTGTGGTTGAATGGAACTATGGGACGGAAGCTTATGTAGTGGGTTAATAGCTAAGGGCATGCTCTGGGTACAGTGGTTCCTTCTGTGTGTTGTGCGTAACTTCGTGGCGTGTCCTTGGTAGTTGATTCTGCAACGTGTGGCTGAAAACATGGTTGCTTTTGGTCCTTTCTGCCTTGTGGTTGAATGGAACTATGGGACGGAAGATTATGTACTGGTTTAATAGCTCAGGGCATGCTCTGGGTACAGTGGTTCCTTATGTGTGTTGTGCGTAACTTGACTCATCCGCGGCGGTCCAAATGCATGGTGTTGGCAGCACTGGCTTCGTGGCGTGTTCTTGGTAGTTGATTCTGCAACGTGTGGCTGCAAACATGGTTCCTCTCGGTCCTTTCTGCCTTGTGGTTGAATGGAACTATGGGACGGAAGATTATGTAGTGGGTTAATAGCTAAGGGCATGCTCTGGGTACAGTGGTTCCTTCTGTGTGTCTTCGTAACTTCTGTGTGTTGTGCTACATGTGCTGGCCTGCCGCTGCTATGTGTGCGACCCCGTTACTCGACAATCCTTTCCCCGCTGCCCGGTCACACTTGCGTCACTCAACTCGGCGTCGCCTGTCTTCATCCCCTTCCGCACTTCTTGGTTGTCGCCTCTGTTTTTCTTTTCTTCCAGCGCCACTGTGGACGTCTGTCTCCCGAGCAACGCACCGAGGCAACCGATACATGCCGACGGCAAAAAACTCGACCCAAAAAAAAAACAAACACCGGCCGGGCAGCTGAGCAACGCTCTGCCGTGCCTTGCGGCAAGTCTGAGCAACGCTCTGACCCCCAGCCGTCCGATCCGTGCCTCGGCACTCACCGGATTCTAACACCTTGCCCTGCTGTTGTGAAACGTGGCACGCCGGATCGCCTACGTTCGTTCTCTACCGCACATATGCCAAATGGGCTTGCCTGCGGCGGTTTTCCAACCATGCCCTTCAAAACACGCCGGGTTGACCGCTGGCCTTCTCGAATCGGTCCGGGCAACGCGCTCACGTTACTTGACCCAGACTGTCTCTCACTACGACTTCAACAAGCCATGCCGGAAACTATGTTCACGGTCCACCTGCCGTGCTCTACCATGCCCCAGATGCATACCGCTGAGATTATAATTCACTATCACGCGGGACTATGATGGGACTATGCTGGGACAAATATGGAGCTTAATTACGTGGTAGGCTCGTGCTGGGATTACTTACAATTCACTGTCACACGATAACCTGGCCACCGGCTCGACCCACGTCGCCCGCCGATGGGATTGCTATAGGTGGGTCGATGCTTGGGCTTACTATGGAGCTTTTACGGGGATTATAATGGGACTATGGGACAAGTATTGGGTTTCAAGTCGGGTAGTGCTGGGATTATAATTCACTATCACCGGCTCACCTCGCCACCGGCTCGGCCCACGTCGCCCGCCGGTGGGAGGGATATGGGTGGGCACTATCATGTACTATTATCATGGGGTACAGGTTGAACTGAAGCGGAAGCTTCTACTGCACTAAATCTTAAGTTTCATATTGACGTTATACTAAGCTTATCGTCTTGAGCTTCTAGTGGGAATATGCTGGGACCAATATTGGTCTAACACTGGACTCGTGCAGCGGACCAATGCTACCAAATTCATTGCACGGACCTGCCCCTTGGCACATGCTGGGTTCACTGCTGACCTCCTTGCGTCTGTCCGACCCAGACTTTGACACTCGCTTAACCAACCCTCTGGCGGACCACGGCTTCAAACATGCCACGCAGGACACTGCGTTAACTGTGCACAGGCCGTTTTCCCTTCATGGCAGAGGCATCGCGGTGGAAAATCTGAGCGACGCTCTCACACTCGCTGGAGCAACGCTCTAGCTGACCAAAGCTACCGCCCCCTGCCTTTAAACATGCCGTTGTCCAAACTTGCCATGCCGTTGTAAAACCATGCCACATCGGATCGCCTACGTTGCTCTTCTAAACATGCCCTTCCAAACAAGCCGGGTTGACAGTTGGCCTTCTCTGGTCGCGCTGAGCAACGCTCCAACTCTCGCTTGAGCAACGTTCTCGCTGACCAAGGCTTCAAACGCGGTGGTCGGCAACGCCCTGACACTCGCTTGAGCAACGCTCTAGCTGACCAAAGCTACCGCCCCCTGCCTTTAAACATGCCGTTCTCGAAACTTGCCATGGCGTTGTGAAACCATGCCACATCGGATCGCCTACGTTGCTTCTCTAAACATGCCCCTTCCAAACAAGCCGGGTTGACAGTTGACCTTCTCTGGTCGATCGGAGCAACACTCTACCTCTCGCTTGAGCAACGCTCTAGCTTCAGAAACTTGCCATGCCGTTGTGACACCATGCCACATCGGATCGCCTACGTTGCTTCTCTAAACATGCCCCTTCCAAACAAGCCGGGTTGACAGTTGACCTTCTCTGGTCGATCGGAGCAACACTCTAACTCTCGCTTGAGCAACGCTCTAGCTTCAAAACATGCCGGGTTGACCGCTAGCCTTCTCTAGTCGATCTGAGCACAACAACCACACCAACAACAACACCAACAGCAACAGCGACGGCAACTCCAACAGCAACCACAACGACAACAACAACAGCAACAACAACAACAACAACAGCAACCACAACAACAACAACAACAGCAACAGCGACGGCAACTCCAACAGCAACCACAACGACAACAACAACAATAACAACAACCACTACAACTACAACTGCTCCTCCAACTACGACTACAACTACAACTACAACGACGACAACAGCCACAACAACAACAACAGCAACAACAACAACAACAACAAACAACAACAAAACAACAACACAACAACAACAACACCGACACAACAACACACCAACACCACCACCACCACCGCCACCACCACCACCACCACCACCACCAACAACAGCAACAACAACAACGGCAACAACAACAACAACAACAACAGCAACAACAACAACAACAACAACGACAACAACAACAACAACCACCACAACAACAACAACAACAGCAGCAACAACAACAACAACAACAGCAGCAACCACGACAACAACCCCCCGCAAGAAACACTACCCTTCAATCCGCCGCCGCGGCTCCCATGGTTGGGCCCCTGGCCGGCTGTCGCGCGTAAGCGCTTAAATAATATAATTGTCAATTCGTATCATGATTGGGACAATATGCGTGTTAAACCACTAGCCAGATTGTGACTTAAGGGAAACGTATCAGAACATGTGATGTTTCGGATTTTGTCATCGAGCATTTTGGCTCCCTGAAAACATTTCTCTAAACGCAAAAACATGGCGAGAAAACGGAAGGGTCAACATATCGTAACACACGCTCCTTCAATGAGCTTACTTCAATGCCATCACGTGCGACGGCATGTCCCCAAAAAGGGAGACCCCTTCAAATCCGGGAAAATTATGTATCTTAGGGCCTTAGGGGCAGGAATCGCTGGAAACCGTTCTGAGTTTTGAGCTTATGCTTCACTAATTTCTGGGCAAATACACCGTGCAATGCCTCAAAACTTCACGCTACCTGTTTCTTATCTAATTTGCACTTGGAGCTTGCCAAAGCCAATTTTAACCCAGTGTTCCTTGCTCAAATCATCCATGTTCTATCCTTTTTTGGGACAGCGCCTGGCTTTGCTTCCAAGGTCTTTGCCTGCAGGGTATACGGTGAATCCACACAAAGATTCCCAATTTGCGGATCATTTTCCTCGGCTTTTTCACTGCTTTTCTATTTCGATGTGACGTTTTCACAGGATAACATGCAAAGCAGTGTATAGATGTGTATAGTGTGACATCATTGATATCACCAACAAACATGGGGACATCTGGTCACAAGGTATAGTTAAATTCACACGCAGATGCAAACATGCCAATAAATGCATATAAATGCCATTTAGCCCCCCAAACTAGGAGATCGCATGCGGTAAACGCTTGAAGCATCTTGAAACATTTTGGCATTCTTTTGGAAACAACATCGTCTGGTTTTTGGGGCCTTGAGGCCAGCCCCTGGCCGCTGGCCTGCGGAGAGAGAGGTCCGAGGGCATTGAGGCTGGAACGTGCTTCTGACAGTTGGAAATGCAACCTCAGCCGCAGATCAACAGCCCATGGCACCATGGCCAACTGCCAAGAGCTCATGGTCAACGAATGTCAACAAGCCAAGAGTCACACTTCATGCAGTTACTTCAGGTCACTTCATCAGTTCTAAATGTTGGGGAGTCTCCATGACAACTATCACATACCCCGAGATATCGACTCCTGTAACCGACTGGCAAAGACCTGTGCAGGTGTCGGATCGATGTAGGGATCGAGCTGGAGGAGCTTTGATCTTGAAGATGGGTAGTATTTGTGTCATTTGTGGATATGTTGGGGTGATACAACACCTTTGGTTTTTGGCCAAATGTATGGCTTTGCACTAAGAGGAACATACCAAGAGGGATCTGGTGGCCGGAACTCGCATTAGAGGGGAGTTGAAGCAGATTTACCACCGATTTACCGCTGCTGCTGGTATTTTCTAATTGCTCAAACTGCCGACTGCATCCGAACCGCATCGACTCTAAGATCAAACAAGGGATCCAACTGAAACAACCGAGGCGGCTTTGTATCCAGCTGAAGTGACAAGCACCGCATAGAAAGTCAATGATGCCACAAGCTCCCACTTCCCCGGGTTTAGAAAGCTATGTCCTTTTGTGCCCCACTCATAGCTAGCAAGTGACCATCACTGTTCTCACTTTTTATTGCTTGTACTCCCATCACAGGTATGAAATGAGGGACTGACTGGCAATGCCTGGAGCTAATGTGTGGATTTTAGACAAAGTCATGGCTGTTGAGATTTCACTATGTCTGTTTACGGTGAAATCGGGACACAGGGTACTCAACCACTTGCTGGTATTAACTCATCATTTCCACCGATTCCAGCTGTGCATTTTCTTTGTTGCGGCAATCCTGATCTGCTTTCGCAAGCGCATCCCTCTTGAACTTTTCCACTCTGGCAAAGGACCTACATGTTTTGCAGATAACTCAGCTGACTAAGGCAGTCCTCTCGATGTGCTGGTGATAAACACTCACGAACCACTTGGTCGAAAAAGGGTTTCCCCAAACCCAATGGCTTACCATAATTTTCAACATCAAGTTACCATTTTGAGACATATCCCATTTGGTCGTATCATGTCGTATCCCAATGTATGGTGTAAGACCTTTCCCAACCGCAAATCAGCAAGCCACTTGACATGGCGAACCTTCGATATGCTGCAGATGTTGAGTCCATCTTCAGTGGGTCAAAATGGGTCAAACCCCCACGAAAACCATCATGTCTAGTGCTGCAAGATGCTGCAAGCCATCTATTCCTGTCCAGAACGGCTTTAACCCCAACCCCAGCTGCCTCCTCCTCAGGATTGCGGACACCGAGCCTTGGAAACTTCTGCAGGGGGAAGTATTCATGATTATACAATCAGATAGTCGAAGCAATAAATCTGGAAGAATATTTGGTTTTTGTTTTGGCTAAGATATGAGGTGTCAAAATGCGACATCCAATGACGGTTGCTATTTCAGTATCAACCTGTTGAATTCCTACTTGGTGTGTCGTTTTGAACTATTTGGGTTTGTCTGAAACTTGGGTACCACATTCCATCCATTGGTCAATGATCCCATTTCCTTTTGAAATGGCCTTTGGAGGGGTATACTCCATTTTCGGACACACCCATTCAGACATCACCTAGCAATATGTGGAGCACCTCCAACAAACACAGCAAGGAGATGCTTGACGAGGGCATGCATAGTTTCCCCCCGACTAGGAGTATAGATACAACAATGCATACTACTTGCATCTACAAGTATTAGAAACCATTCAAACTTTCATTGCATGACGAACCCAGTTGCAAGATGCATGAGGTTCTCATTTGCTACAAAGATGGCCCAGCAAGAGCCATCAACTGGGTGATAACATGTGATAACCTTACTTATCTATACGTAGTTTTCTTACGTAACCTTACTTGTGGTTGTCGTACTGCAGTTATATTGGAATATAAATGGCTGTAGCTGATAGGCGCTGATCATTCCAGTGGTCACCCAACATATCCCCCCCTGGCCTCTGAACGCGAGCGCTGCTCAAATGCCTTAAGAGGCTCTTGCGCAAGGTGGTGTACCTGAGCAAATGGCTAGTTGTAAGCAGGGTCCTTTGGCCAACAAACATGGTGGTTGAACGAATCATGACGACTAAGCTTTTAAGCAACAAGACAGGGGAGATAACCAACAAACTTGGGGACCCAAACAACTGCAATGAGGAGAACACCTACCGATAAATCAACACAGGTACTTCTATAACGCCCCATCCAAGCTGGGATGTCCAACCCAGGAACAACCAGGGTAGTGGGAACAAGATCGTCAGTATCTATCTGGGACCAGGTTGACGGATGCGCCGGGGCACTTCTGCACACATTCCTCAGCTGAGGAAACCTCCTTGCTCTCAGGCAATGGGACCAGGTCGTTCATGCCTAGCCATTGCCCATGGTCACCACAGGAAAATCGCCCATCATAGGGATATCATATGATATGATGTGCAATGACACAAGAGATGCACCATGACATGTCTCTAATTCTATACATAAACAAATGCATGAAACAAACAACTGGTTGTTTGTGCCTGAAAATAGGGTAGTCCCTTTACTGAAAATAGGGTAGTCCCTTTACATCCAATGATTTGTTGCATTTGCACCAAAAACAAAAACATGGGGGTTCCTTCGAACAATCAAAAGGATTAGCACATTTGTTGGAATTTCTTGGGATTGCTCTTCAGAAACCTCCAGCAAAATTAACATGCGGAAAACCGTGGAAAAAATTGGGTTTGTCTAAAAATCTGGTATCCAATTTCATCAATTGGTTTATCAGCAATTTAATTAATTTCCCATTAAAAGGGCGATCATATGCTATCATCGGATATATCCAATTCTCAGACACATCCATTGCTGGATCCATTTTCCTTGGGTTTTCCCATCGCTTTTCCATCTCTACATCTACGTCCCAAAAAAACGGCTGCCTGATACCTGCAAGGCGTAGAGCTCCCGTGCGCCCTTCTGCTGCGAGAGCCGCAGGGCGGCGAACTCGGGGGCTGTGGCTCGACCGTCCTGGAATGAATCAAATGTTGTGGTTACCTGCAGGGGGATACAATAGGTGTGTATGTATATATATATATATGTGTATATATATATATATGTGTTATAACATGTTATAACCAGGGTTGGCCTATTTAACCAGGGGTTTGTGACGTATCCAAATGGGATCTTGGAAACTGTATTGAATTCTTCAGAAACCATATTGAGTTCTTCAGGAACTATTTTGGATTTGGGACAACTATGAGCTGTGACTGTGACTGAGGCTTAACTTATGCATCGGAATTTGCGCATGATATGTGCATGATACTTGGGAATGCTTTCCTACATCTGAATATTTCATACCGCCACATGGCTAGATACATGTTCCTGGCTTCTGAGCTTCTGAATGGCCGAGCATGCGCGGTTGTACACTCTACTATATTACTCAAAAAATGATAGATATTCAGTACTATAATGATTGTAGCAATATTTTTTTAAAATGTTATTGTTGCTTCTATCATACTAAACTGTTTTTCAATTCGATAACTTGACACCTTTGACAAGTCATAAGTTTGAAATCTGAATCGGAACTATTATTTTTCTTTTCAAAACAACCACGTATCATAACAACTGCACATTCTGAATTTTACATAAGTTGGATGAAATAACGTAACAAATCACACAAATTGTGATACGACACGACCTCGCTGGCAGAATGGGGTACGGAAAGCATTGACGACATACAACGCACAATGACAAGCAACATTTCATCCAAAATTGAACTCGACTGTACCCGCCTGAATCGTGAAGATGCCTCTGTTATAAACTTTTGACCATTCGCGACTGACATGATTGCTGTACGGTTTGTTACGACCTGTGATCTATGTGACATGTGAGGAAGAGCCATGAGCAAGGATGACGATGATGACCATGAGGAGGGGATGAGGATGAGGGTGAGAATGAGGACGAGGACGAGGATGATGATGATGATGATGATGATGATGATGCTGATGCTGATGCTGATGATGCTGATGCTGATGCTGATGATGCTGCTGCTGATGATGATGGTGTGGTGATGTGGTGATGTGGTGATCAAAATTCAAGTTAAGGAAAGGAAACAACAGGTCAGATCGGAAGGCCAAAGTTGGAAGTTTAGAGTTTCTAGCTTTCAGAGTCGGCATGGGGCTGTTTTTGTTCACCCCCAACCACAGAACTGGCGTACCCCATGTGCTGGAAAGTGATGTTTAGATCCAAGCGGGGTGTAGTTGAAGATGTACAGAGGGCATGCGAATTTGAAGATTGATATTTGCCAGGCAGTTAGTGCATTCCAATATAGCCTGTGAGGTTCTCCATACAGTTCCTGAAGTTTTCCATATAGTTCCTGAAATTTTCCATATAGTTCCTGAGATTTTCCATATAGTTCCTGAGATTTTCCATATAGTTCCTGAGATTTTCCATATAGTTCCTGAGATTTTCCGTATAGTTCCTAGCCAATTTTTGCAATTTTCTGACCCCAGGAACGGTCGCGACGGTTTCTACGGTTTCTACGGTTCCATTTTTGGGCATTGGAGGGGTATGGTTGGCATGTGGCTTTACGGGGCCACAAATTGAGCCGGAAGAGCTTTGAAGAGATCCAGGGATAGAGAAGCCGTTTGGGCATGGAAAACCAGATTTGGAATTTGCCTGGTTTTTGGAATCGAGGGGCACGTTGATTTAATTCACGGGGCCCTCCTTCCCTGTGATGTTTTTTCCGGGTGACCCCCCGCAGCTACACCAAGAGCATCGATGATGCATTTCTTTCATCACTGGCAGGAACCAACTTGCAGATTTGTTCATGCTGCTGATTATTTCCATCCCACCCGTATTCTTAAAGGAATTTTGGGTAGGTTGTTGTGGGCTATACTATTTTGGCTATACCACTGAATGATGGTAGTTACTATATTTTGTGGCCGCACCAACTCATATATCAAAACAACTTTTAAAGCACGCTGTACACGAAAAACTTACAAGTTGTAGCTTTTAGCTGATAATTTGAAACTAACATGTTTTGAAAAAATATTTGGATCATAGATAAAACGAGACACAAACATATGATTTAGGGGTCAGGACCGTTCCGTGCTAAAAGGCAGAAACCGTCGCGACCGTTCCATGCTATATTCAAGATTACAGTCGGAAACCGTCGCGACCGTTCCATGCTATAGCCCTTAAAAAAAGGATATAGTCCGGAACCGTCTGCGACCGTTCGGAACCGTTCCTGGAAACTGCAAAAAAGATATAGTGTAGGAACCGTCGCAACCGTTCCACGCTGTATTCAAGATTACAGTCAGGAACCGTCGCGACCGTTCCCGCAAAACTGGATTCTTGCGTTTTTTTAGCCTAAATATATCAATATATATATATATATATTTATTTATCTATATATATATATTTATCTATATAATTATATATATATACATATTTATTTTGCATTAGAATATGTGTATATATATATATAGTTACACACATATAATTTTTACATATGTTTTTTGTATACAATACATTATTAAATGTGTATACAGGTATATACATACGTTATATCATATCTTTTGAAAAAACTACCTAGTTATAGTTTAGAACATAAGCCGGCTGTTTAAGATTTTATGATTTCGATTCCAACATCATCAATGATCCCGGGGTCTGGGGTATGAATGCCCACATCTCTGTAAATGTTTGTGCCAGCTTAAAAGGCTGAACCTAAGTGCAATTCTTTCAGCACAACCCAGTCTTTTCAAGTTCCTGCATTTCTTTCTGTTAGTTCCAACATATTGGTTTATAGTTCCAATATTCTCCCATATAGTTCCTATATTTTCCCATATAGTTCCTATATACCCAGGGTGGCCACACACAAATAGGCCATCACTGGTTATAATATATGTGTATATATATACACACCTATTGTGTATATTATTTATGTATATATATATACATATGCAACCAAGAGGGATGTGTATGTTAAATATCAAATGATACATATGTACTGTATGTGTATATATATATATGTAAATATATAATATTATATAATAACATATACATATATAATCATATCTATGTACTAGGTTGATCTATATAGATGGTATGTAACAAACATATATTGATCAACAACAATCATCAAAGGGGTATGTTAATACAAACATCTGGGTATGAGGCCCATTGACCAAGAACACCTGGAGGAAGTACCAAGGGAATGTACAGCAACTGATCAGTAACATGGGGACACTGATCAGCAATATAATGGCGGAATACATATGAAAGGGGACATAATATGAACCAACCACAAGGGGTAACATTAGTGGATATTAGGTATATATTTACACCAACAAACACAAACAAGAAGAGCTTTCCAGTGGTTTCAAAAAAAACATATGATCATTGCAGAATCTAGGTAGGTTGGGATAATTATAGCCAGTAACCAACCTCTTGTATCTCAATGAAAAGGGGATATACTATAATCATTAGAAGGCTATGGAACGTGCGGCGTTCGGCTTCTCATGCAGCCCGAGATGACTTGCGGGGTTAGGGCGTTCCCAGTTACTGATCCTTTACAGTCCTCAGAAAACATCATGCAATCAAGGAAGAGAACTCCAACCATCAAGAAACCTCTTCAGATCTTGACATATCTTGAACACATCTGATGAATCTAGTCTTAAAATTTTTGTGACGACCAATCACTGGATCTGTTGAACCTAAATAACAACGCATGGCACCCCGGGGTTGTCTGAAGCTAGGGTACTCCAATTTTTCATGGCGCATCATGAGGATCCCTGCTAGAATCGCCAAACAACATTGCGGCATACCCGATTTCAGACACCCAGATAAGAATTTGTGTTGGTTAGTTGTATCCCATCCTATCCCCAGTAAATCCCGATTTTGATGATGGTCAACCCTCCTCGTTTATGTCGCCGGTGATTCCAACATCTCTGGATGATCCTTAAATATTTTTTTTTGTGTTGGTTAGCTATATATATCCAATCATATCCCAATTATATCCATTATATGGAGGTTTCCTAAAATGGGGGTACCCCCAAATCATCAATTTTTTTTTGGGGAGGATGTTCCATTTTTTTAAGCAACTATTTTGGGGATCCCCCATTTATGGAAACCCCCATATCATTTTGTACCCAATTGATGGGGGATTCCAAGCACCCCTGGCTCTCGTCCTCATCTTGCTTGGGACGCTGTCGCATCTTGTCGATGCTCTCCTCCAAATGCTTCCGTTTCTTCTCCTCGTCCTACGGAAAACTCCACGGAATGGGGATGTAATGGGGATATCATGGGGATATAAAGGGAATATAATGGGGATATGTAACCAACTCTATTTCCTAGATATATCACATAATTGGTATAAAACAAATCGCCTTGTCGGGATATAGCGAGATATTAGATGAGCAATCTCGGAAGCTCAAGGTTCATGAAAAGGACATCAACAAATTTGGGAATGTCCCATCGCTTCCCACACATTTGTACGAAAATTATGTATGGCGAATTCAGGGGGTATTGCTTATTAAAGTAAATGATGTATGGGCACAGGATTGCACAGGTATGACATAACCTTCGAAGGGGCTATCACTATTTTGGAAGGTCCCATGGTTTGCCTCATGTTTGCACGACATCTGAAAACCAGTGTTTTTGCGGTGGCTCAGATGGATCTGAATTCAACGGGTTCACCAACCTTAAAAAAAGAGGCCGTTTGGGGAGGATGCTCCCTACTCACCCAAATTTATGGTTTGCCATCTCGGCATGGGTCAAATTAGAATTCTGTTTGGTGGTGGTTGACATTGCTGAAAAAATGCCGCTAGGTTGAGACAATCTTCCCAAATCCAGAACCAACAACTAAGAATCAATCAAATTACTATTTAAACGCTAATAGAAACTAATTTAAACTATACGTTACAAATCATTGTACATCAATGCAATACACAACCTGAAATTCAACGTGCAACCGCAGGTTGCAGTGGGAGGATCGTTTACTTTCCGGATATGGCCGGCATGGTGACCTGCTGAGTGGTATGTCCCAAATCTGGGATTGGTTTTGTCTCATGGGGGAGACCCAAAGCTATCATTACATAAAGGAATGTATAGCAACTCCACAAAAGATAGAAACGTAACGTCCTACTAAAGTACTAAGTAGCAGTAAATTAGGTACACCAACTACTTGTATCTCTTTTTGCATGTTCCGAAACATCAGGGGGAAAATGAAGTTTTAACATGTTGTAACCCGTAGGATGAACGGGGGTTTCAATCAGACAACCCCATGGAAATACAGTTGGGACCTGACCTGTACCCCAAATTACCATGGGTTTCCTGTCAGATGGACCAGACCATGACATGGTGGATGTTGTGTCAGTTTGAAACACCACGAGCCATCCTTGTAAAGTTGCTCCAACTTGTCTCTTTTTGCCTGGGTTGGTTGCTGGACAGGGGAAGACCACACAAGTAAGCAACTTCTAACCTCAAATTTGGGGACATGGCCACCATCCAGCCATTCGTTTTGATTCTATCATTCTTACAATCCCTGCAACGAACATATACCATGCGATTGGCAGGTGGAAGACTACTTTCCTCTTCTAATGAATGGTTTTCAGGGTCTGTATTAGTTGAGGGGATGTATATCCCAATAAATCCCATCAAATCACCGTTTTTTCCTACACAAGTCTCGACAATTCCCATTTCATCACCGGTTCCGATGACTATCTCCAATTCTTTGGGGGTATTGGGGTGGCCCCTGGCAACTGCATGTGGTTCATAGCTCAGTCCATGTAAAATATACCTATAAGGAAGAATATTTTAAGACCCAAGTACCATAAATGTAATCTATTTGGGAGTTTTTAAATCCAATTATCCAGTTATTATTAGCTACTTACAGGTAATTGGATTAAGTAGTATCAACCATTTGTGAATTTCATGATGATACATTGTTTGTCAATCCAAATAGTGACCATTTGCAAAACCGTTTTAAACCCATGCAAAAAATGGTATAAATACACATAGCGATCTATAGCGATATCTGTCTCTATACCTGCGTCTATATCTTTATCTATATCTACATCTATACCTGTATCTAAATCTGCAACTATCTATATGACATATGGTTATATCTATACAGTATTCCAGTACAATTTTCCTTGCACCTGCACCCAGTCGGACTCTTCTCAGCCTTGGTTTCTTCGATCTGTTGGACCAACTGCGCCTGATAGATTTAAGTGGATATCAAAGGTGTAGTGATTGTCCGATTTGGGTTTGGAACCATGACCTTGGACTTGTGGCCTAAACAAGAAAAAAAGGAAGTGGCATCTAGTTACATCATATATTACATATACTACACATATAACATATATGTACATATATATATATATGTATATAATTGTGTATATGTATATATATAATTGTATATATATATATATGTAGAAACATAGATAGATCTGCACCAACAAGGTTTTTCAAAATCTTTGCTGCTGAACTCGCGGGGCCTGGCGTTGTGCCTTGGCCGCAACGTCCCGACGCAGCTGCTCCTCTTCAGCCTGGGCAGTTGATGCAGGTAGTAGGTATAAACCATCAAACTGTTGGGTAGTAGGTATAAACCATCCCAATCTATTTTTTCCTGGGCAGTTGATGTCCCGAAATGGGAAAAATAGCTTGGGCACCGTTTGGAATTACCGTATCCCATAGCAAAATCTATGTATTATACATAGGAGTGCAGTGGAAAAGAACATGACGTACCCAAATCAGAGGGAACCCAGCATGTTGGTGTGAGGAGATAATAGGGGGAGTTTAGCAACTTGACCAGTGAACATCATCAAAATAGTGGGCAAGGATGAGCCAACCACAGCAAAAGATGGACCTGTGCTATAGATGCAAAGCTTCCCGGGCTTGTAGGGGATAAGTATATAGTAGGAGTATGGCATGCCAAGAGGCCACTTGCTTAGAGCCACAATCCTTCAACAAATCTGCGAATGGCTTCAAATTGGATGCTCAGCAAACATCAACAAACCAAAGATTTGGGATGATTTGGTCTATGTCAATACATGTCAGTACCATATAGATCCATATAGTACCATCAATGCCAGAAGGAGATGCTGCGGGGACGTTGGTTTTTATTGGGGGATTCACACTCTCCCGATAGCAATAGCTACATCTTTCTGGAGATCCTCACAAATATGCATGATCTGGGAATCCCTCCAGCTCCATGAGCGGCATGAGGCAGATTACGAGAATCCCATGGTCCAAAAAATCAAAAAAACATCTATAAACTGTACAAAGATGTCATCAATGAAGCCGATGACACACGGAGCCATCTTTGAAGGCCATAGCCCCATAGCGCTTCCATCGCCTGAAGAGCATCACTTGTCTGCTGGGCTTCGATCCTGAGAACGGCATGATCAAACATACGCACTTAGCATGAAAACAATATGAACATTGGCAATCAGCAAAGAAAAGAATGGGGTCAACTAACAAATCTGAAGTCAGAGTTGTTTGAATCCATCCAGGAAAATATGACAATATGAGTCAATTGGGGTAATGATCCCAAACAGAGGAAGACAAGTATTTGACCCCACCAATCAGCAAACCACCCCAGAAATCCAGTTTGGAACCCAAACATGGCCGTTCCCATAAGCAGAGAGCATCACCTTTTGAAGTTCGATGTTATGCAACAATCACGGGGATTGACTTTCATCTTGGATGTTCACAAGAGGCTGCCCAAAAGACATATTCCTATTGGATTCCTTGGTTCTGGTGGATCCATGATCTATGCTGCTCCCAATGGGTAGCATCACCTTGGCGTGTTCCCCTTCTAGGCCATCCGGGTGGCTATGGATCAGAAGTTCAAGCCTGGGATCCAGCAGAGACCACCTGGATCTAAGTCATTCTTACGTACTTTTTTCATCTTTTTTCTTGAGGAAACACATATCAAACGCAAAGCATCCAATTTTGTGGGGTATTAAATCTCGATCCACAATTCTTCAACAATCTCTAGCCATCTTTAAGCCCTTCCTTTTAAGCACAAGCCAGCGGGATCAGGCCCCCAGTTTCTCAGCTGAGAGTCATAGCGCTGAGTTTGGCCTTCAACTTCTTCCCTCGATCCTCTGCCTTCAACATCTCCTGATCCAACATGCCTAGCTGGACAATTCCCTAATGGAGGCTTTAATGGAAAAATCGTCTACAAATGGGGAACAAAGTTGGGTACTGTACAAAAAATACATGGTGATTTCCAAATGTTTATTGAGCAAATTCATGCTTTTAACTCTCAAACTCCCCAATGCGTTCGAGTTTGTAAAATTTGAAGGTTTATGGCAACAATTCGCCACTTTTGTTAGTGAAATCCCTATATATATATATTGGCAAACCGGTCCCGTTACAAACAGTAAAACCAGAACGTCTATGGCCGAATTCCTATTGCTATGGATGAAACTGATAAACTTAACCTCTGTTTATAGGTAAGATTCAAAGCCAAGTAAAAGTTTATGTACAATCCCAATGCTTCGTGGCAAAAGAACGAACCCATGTCTTTTTCGCGCTGCATTCAAATTCCAATTTCTTTATTGTAACAATCCTCAAGCATCCCAATTCTAATTCTACTCCCCAAAGTTTTAGGGGATTTAGCCGTACATTTATATACACAAACATCCAACGTTTCATGCCAAACCAGCAGTGTTTGATCAGAGCCCACGGGTCACTGGCACTTCAGTCCTCTTCCGAGAAACTCAACAGCTTCTTCTTCTCCTTCAGCTGTTCCTGCGCCTCTTGAACCTTCCAAGGTTAAACTGGGCCAAGGCCGGCCATGCAGATGGATGTCTATACATGTACATGTATGTATACATGCATATAACAAAGCATATACAAATGTGTAAATGGCTGGATCGGTATAGTCCGTTGGGGACTTTTTTGGAGGTTCGACAGGTTCTTACAATTTTTGTATCCACAAGCATTATTTGAAGAAGTGTCCAGACCTGCAGGCTTTGATTTTATGAGTGGGGTTGGGTTTAGAGGTTGGTAGCCGCTGAGACCTGGTCTTCTTGGGATTTGGAAACAAGTAATTCTCCTGATACAAATACTGTAGAAATGTACATATGATAAAGCATGTACATATACAATCTCGAGTATATGTACATATACAATCTATAGTGCATGTTCATCTTTTGCAGGACCCACGATGGGATTCATGATATCTGACTTTCGCGAAACTATCGCGAACGAACATTCTCCTTTCGCAAGCAAGGACCTTTGGATCGATCCCTATATAACAATACATGTATATACGTACATATATAGATACATCAATATCAAGTAATAGGTGTCTAATCACAACAGTGAGGGTTTCCGATACCTAAAACTTTGATTTAATAAAATATGAGGGTCTTACAAACGAAACTGGCACTCAACAAACCAAAAAAGTATGTACCCAACAACAGCAGAAATTTAAACACAGTGGTCTTCAACAAGTGATGTGGATTTAGCCAACACCAATGACGATTTCAATCAACAAAAAGATACAAAAAGGGTCTTCACCAACAATCATATATCATCTGTAACTGGGGGTTCTGCTCCATTGGTACCCCAGTACTTGATACAACTTGTTGATCATATTCTGTTAAATCCCACAAGAAGCTGGTCAGTATATGGATATGTCAATGGGGTATACACCCAAATCGCCTATGGGGAAAACGATGTTAATCTGTTAATCCACTGGATTTAGGGGGTCAATTTGATCCAATTGATTCCCATTAGCGCCATCTACTAGCCATTGTGCCCCACGATTGTTGGGTGTAAAAACGTGTAACGAAACAATGGTTCTGGATCCATTCCACTTGTATCCACTTGTCCCAGCTCATGTAATCCATTAATTGCCCCATTCTTCTCCACCAAATTAATTTGCAAATGATCATCATTGTATTGAGGTTTAATGACAGGAGCAGATGATCCGTGATGGTCATCTTGACATATGGACCTTGATGATATAACCCCCGATCGTAAATAGATCCAATTATAAATCCCTATTCTATGCCCATGAGGAAATCCAGGGGCTGATGATTCAAGACTAATAGGGCCTGAATAATGTATATATCGCATTCTAAAACCCTATTATACCCCATATCCCCATGACGATCTCAAGATATCCCAAGTATATGCCCAAAATAAAGTATATGGGATTATGATTCATTCAAATCGCCATTCGATGCATAAATCCCTATGATGATTCCTTGAAGATTATACCCCAATGATATCCCATCATTACATCATATGTCCATCATAAAGTATAATCTGGTTGATATGAATGGTCCAGTATGTCCATTATATCATTATAAAATATCGGATATTCCTATGATTATATCATAATCCCTATGATTGTATCATAATCCCTATGATTATATCATAGTCCCTATGATTATATCATAATACCTATGAATCCCCATGATACGACCATTATATGACCATGAAACCCCAAAGGTTGATGATTTCAGCCATCGATTTCCCACCTCTCGATGCTTCTCGTCGATCTCCTCGACACGGCTCTGCACCTGGAGTGCCGGGAGAAACAGAGGTCACGAAGCAACAAAAAAGGGGGAGTTAATCATCAAACATAGTGAGTTTAAGTGATTTTAAGTGTATATATTTAAGCAACAAACATAGTGAGTTTAGTGAAGCATCAAAACTCGTGAGTTAAGCAGCAAACCTTGGGATTCAGCAGCACACATGTGGGATATTTGAGCAACACAAAAACGAATTTGAGATCTGACCATAGACAAATACACCAGTTGGAAATCTGATCAACAAAAAAGAGGTTTACGTATTGAAACATATTGAAACCAATAATCAAATGGAGATGGTTCATCTGATTGAATATCAGCAGCCCAAGGGCCCAAGGTCTTTGAATTCTCCACCATACACCGTTTGTGCCCTGCTTGTGGTACTGATAAAACCCTGTTTCTTAGGCGCCCGCAATCGAAACATCATTTCTTTTGCACGTCTGTGGCCTTTACCATTCTTTATCACCTTTCATCTCCAACTCTGTGGCTTCAAGCCTGAATTTTGTGGCCTGGACATGAAGAAATGCTTTCCAATATGGGTACCTCCACATCCTATGGGCTATCATGATCCCCATCCATTAGAATGGCCATTTGAGATTTGAGGCTACTGGTATGTACTGGTGTCTGCCATTTCAAGCCAATCCAACTCCCGATTGTTGATGGTTACACCAGATTTTCCCATGTTTTCCATGGCCAATTCTGCCTCCAAACTGCTCGCCGCCCAAGCCGGAGGCTCTGAGGCCAGTCGTGCTGAGGAACGACTTAAGCTTTCCTGGAAAGTTGACCCAACTGACCAGCCAAGATGGGGATTTCAGATGATTTTACCAACAAACATGATACGGATTTCATGAGAAAAAATGGGATTCAATATGGATTCAATATAATATATATATAATCAGACTAACAATACGACAATACATGTATAAGACTAATATATATATAATATTTAATGGGATTTATAATATAATATGATCTAAGAATCTAACTAACAATACATCTATAGACTTCATATACTTCACCAGAAAACTTGGCATCTTGGCAGGTAGAATATTTCACCAGGAAAAATGGGGCGTCTAAGCAGCAACCGAGTGGCAGTTTAGAATCTTTTTAACGAGCTACGAGTATCTAAGAAAATCAAGAAACAAACACTGGGATAGCATTCTTTCACTGACATAAACTATCTCTGTACACACACACACACATGTTATATATATATATATACACACGTAGATATACACGCGATATATAATATACATGCAACAAGCAGTTCTTGTTGCTGTTCAACACCTCTCATTTTCTCAATCCGCCAGCCCCAACCACATGGGGTGACTCAACATGGGTGGCAAATGGTTAGATGGTGGATGTGTCCTAGAATAGCTGAGATCTGGGTCAACAATTGAGGGCTGGTCAAGGCATCAAAGTGGACCTTGGCCATGATCAGATCAAGCCACAATAGGGATGGTCATTCCAACATATGATGAATCCGTATGGACCTGTCATATCTTGTAGGATTGATATGGTGATTCCCAAAGAGATAGCAGGAATCACCAAAGTTTGAGTTAAGGCAACCTAGCTTTGTACTTCGGAAGCCGTATTCATACACATTCAAGTGACCAAAACAGGAGCGCAACCAATAGATTTGGGGATGGTCATGCCATGTTTCCCTAGACTTCTTCTTTTGCAATGTGTTGTAGTTCCTTCTTATATGCATCCTGGTATTTGGATGTATTTGGTGACTTAAAAAAACAACCCTCAAGTGTTATAAGCTTCGGTAAGCTGGAAAATCTTATTAAATATTTATATCGAATCAAATCACGGAATGTCAAAATCCGACATACGCCCATTTGACATGATTCCCGGACACGAAAACCATTGATCTTCTTGGTGAATCTATAGTCCGTATATCCCCCTTGCTGCGCCAAAAGGACCTCTGCATTCTTGCTGAGCAAATCAATGCGAGTCTGGAGCTGCTTGGCGAAAGGGGGAACTCCCAAGGTTTCGTTGCCGCTTGGCGTATGAGTAATTTACGTAGATATGAAAAACCCACGGGGAAACCTGACGCAAATGACCTACAAACGGGGGGTTTCCTATAATTATCTATCTGAATTTATGGAGGGTACCCCAAAATGGCCTTTCGAAGGAGAGAAAGGATGGACAAAAAATCATGTCATGGGATAGAATGAGGTTCCATGAGGTTCCCGATTTTGAGCCAAACCCATTCAACCCCCGCATAGCTTCAGCGGCAGTCAACGTCTTGGTCTTACCAGCTGCTCCCTGCAACATCGCCCCCAAGGACCCAGCAAACTAGGGAGAAAACGTATTTGATCGTATTTGATTTAGAATATTTAGCCGAATCTTCGAAATTTGCCCAAGTTCCCAAAATCGAACCCAATTACCATCTCCTTGGGGGACTTCCATGGAGTTCCGGCCTCGGAGGGTGGTAGCAACGCCTGGCAGTAGTCGGACGCGGCTTTGAGCGCTCTCCAGAAGCTGATGGGCTCCTGAGAAAAACATGGATGACACTCGGGGGGAAGGATGAAAAGCCAATGGAACACCAGCATATTGTAGGGGATGGTCAGCTAATGTCAGCTATATCAGAGTATGTTCTAATTGGTTCGAATTGTGAATGAGATTCTGGGGTCCTACCCATTTGAAGAGACACATCTTGATTTGTCGATTCCGCAGTGTCTTTTTTGGGACTGCCAAATCCAACATGTCTGCCCGCCCTAGGAAAAACCAGGGGAGATCGCCGCCAGCACTCCGCGCTGTTTTGATGCCTGCACTGTCCACCATGCAGCCAGTTTATGTCGCTTTTTTGGTCTGCCATGCATTGAGCTGTAATACTCTTCAGATCTTTCCGGCCAGTCCCAGGTAGTGTCACGTTCTCAAACTGACTAAAAGGTTGAAGAGCTTCTTCAAATAATCCACATCGGTGCTGGTGATTTCAACCCATCTCAAGGAGAATGTTCACATGTTCAAACTGAGGTTTGCCAGTTTGAATAGGCACTGGCACCATTTTTTCAACCACGGGCTGGGACTGCCATGGACCCAATGGCTCAGCGTGATTTGAATCCATACCTGGGCCAACGGCCAGGCCACAGGGATCCACAGGGGTTAGCCACTTAGAATGCACCAAACATATCAAACATACCTAAACCATCCACGAAAGGGTTGTTGACCCATTCTCAAATGAACATGGAAGCGATATGTACCAATCAACGAGACTCATGGTCAAGTAGCTCCCGGAATGGCCAGGAATTGACCATAGAGGGCTCAAACATGCTCAAAGATATTACATGCATGTCCACGTGCAGAATCATTGCCTGCATCCCCTGCTCTGAAGTCTTGAACCATGTGTTTACCCTAAGTCTATACATATTTTCCATGGTTTCTTCCATGTGTTTACCGACGCTTGATCTCCCAACCAGCCATGTTCGATGCTACTGGGATCCCGGCTTTTTTCGTTCGTAGAACAAGTCGGTTCTGGCTGTTCCCAGGTTCACAATCTTGGGACATCCGTCCCGATCCTGTCCCAGACAGTCAGCGCTATGGTGAGCATCACTTGGGACCATCGTTATGAAAATCATGAACATACTCTTGAAACCACAAGATAGAGATTGAAAATCCTCCATAAGTGTATGTTTTAATGGAAATAAATGGGATATATCAATAGGCGATTTTCCACTGCCATATTTGATTATCGGAGGGAATTTACTCTCTTCCATGGCTGAGAGTTTCATCGATTTTCCATTCGGTTTGTCAGAGGCCGCTGTGGCAAGCCCGACTCTTGAAGGCCAATTGTCGTAAACCTAAAACTGCTGGAACACCTTGAGATCATCATGCCACATAGATCCACATAGGGATAGAAGATACATGGCAGTTGAACCCACAAAACCAAAGTCATATCAAAATACAATTAACATCCACTAATCCACTAACCTGCTGATTCAGTTTTCATTGTCAGCCATGAACCAAGTTAGCCCCTCTAACAGTAACTCGGATCTGCACCTTTTCGCATTGGCAGCACTCCTGGGACAGGCAGGTGCGGTGCTGGGTTGAGTACGTCGATACCCTCCAGTTTGAGTATGTTTATATATTCCTCAATATGTTTGTTTTTTTTTTCATTTGATTACTACTACATATTACTATGAGACTATAAACAGATGATAACCTTGGACCCTGGTTGTTGAATTGATACCTCAAGTGTCAGGGAAGTTGCATTTGGCCTGTAAGAGTGCAATTCCAGAGATCCTGAGTGAAAAGAGTCACTCCCACGTGAAGTGTGGACAAGCCATTGTGTCCTGCACTTTTACAGCAAACAGCAAAAATCATGGCCATGTTTCGGTGCCAAACATCCCATTTTTGTGGCGGAGAAACCCAGCTCCACGCAGGCTTCCCGGGATGAATGTGGTAAGCTCAAGAGTAAATCATCCTGTTTTTTTCACCGGACATGGTTTCTATAAAGCCTCCAAACTTGGAGGTTTTATGGCATTGGGTTTACCAGTGATTACTATCAACTTCATCTACTCAATCATCTCAATCTGCCTCTTCACCCTGCCTCTTCACCTTAGATCCCCCAGTTCCCTCCACTCCTTGCAATAGAAGGCATCTGAAATTCCCGCGCCGCCGCAAATCACGCACCGGCCCTGGTAACTTCCTGGAGGCCGTGGACGGCCCTGAAGCCATAGAAATTCCGGGGTCTATGTTACTTCGGGGAATGAAGCCGGTGATATCATGAGGAAATTTACTAGGATAGTTATACTGGGATATTTCATGGAGATAACGATCTAATTTTCACCAATCATGATTTTCACCATGAGGCTTAGACCCAAATGTGGAGTTTTCTGGGACATTCATGGAGATTCGTCGGGATTTTCGCTAGATTAAGCTAGATTAATTGAGGGTAATCATTAAATGGTGGGTCGGAAGCGAGAAGGGTGGGTTCCGCCAAAATCAGGGCCAAAGTACACAAATTGAACATAAGCTGGCGAAGAAACTATTTACCTTCAAATGCACAAATGCAAAAAAGCAGGTACCTCTCGTTGATCCTTGGTGTTATTGTGGACCTTGACTCTATCCTCTCAACTATCCCGGAGGTAGAATTTGGAACTCATTCTCCAAGCGTCTCAATGCGTGTAGGCATTTCATTGTCAGATCATGTATAATATAATGCAATATATATATATAATATAATACAATAAAAGATTATACAATACACAAAATATAATATAATATACTATAATATAATATGATATGATATCATATACTATAATATAATATGGTACAATATAACATAATATAATATAATATAACATAATATAAGATAATATAACATAATATAGTATAATATAATATGTTTTTAATATGATATAATATGATATTACAAATTATATTAGATTATATAATATCTAATATCATATTATATATTACATCACATCATATCATATTGTATTATCTTATATTATCTTATATTATCTGATATTATCTTATATTATATTATCTTATCTTATATTATATTGTATTATATTATATTATATTAATTATGTTATATTATATAATAAGCTATATCACATTATTATATTATATAATACTAGTAAGTTATATCACATTATTATATTATATTATATTACATTATGCTAATATAATATGACTATTATATATGTGCTTTCATCATCTTTCATCCAGATTCACTAGTCACATCCCTCCAATAACACCAAACCTAAAATGGATCCCATGAATAGATCCACAAATATACCAGTTTTTACTGGGGGTGTTTTACTGGGGTAGGGACTGAAGTTTCGCGCCAAGACATCCACAACCGTCCCTTCGCCCGGCCGTAGTTGCACTCGTCGCAAACTCGCGCCAATTGACTGGGCCTGACCTTAGGGCAGTGATCTCAAGTCTTCAGGAATTGTCCCCATCTATGGCAATGAATCAATTTGCCGTGGCCTCAACTACCCAGTTTCGGGTTCAAGTCAGCCCTTCTTGGCACATCCCAAAAGTGCTTACAGCATGGCGCCCAAACTACAGGTCCCGTAAAATCCGGCAAACTTTTCCGCTGCAAAACGTAGTAGGAAAATATGGCGAACATGTGAACACCAGCATTTTTAGGTCTTTCACGACACTGGTTATTACCCTCTGGTAATTTAACATAGCTATTGAAAATGGCCATTTATAGTGAGTTTTCCCATTAAACATGGTGATTTTCCCATTAAAAATGGTGATTTTCCCATTAAAAATGGTGATTTTCCATCGTTTTTTGTTAAATTACCAGAGGGTAGCTGGTTTTGAACGAACCAAGATGAAGATCCGACGAATCCATGCCGTCCAAGCCACGTAGGAGTCGCAAATCACACACTTTCCGTCGCACTTCTCGCAGAGGCGACCTTGAAGCATGGTGGGTAGGTCACATACAAACCCAACAACTGGAATGGACTTGAATAGGTAATTTATCATAATTCATCTATATTTGGAATGGACCAGAACTAGAATAGGTAATTTATGTAGGATGATTTGTGCGAGCTTTTGATCAATTTTCACAAGACGTTTTTTGGATTTTAATTCGCAAGATGTGGTTCACCATCTGGCGACGAGTTCTGACGTGCTACGAAAATTCAGAGCCTGCATATTTCAAAAAACTCAATTATTTCCGCAGAAAATCTTGATGAAATCCAAGTCAATCCCAAAGAATTTCTGAAGAGAGTGAGTTCTTGTGGTGTGGGTCAGAACTTCGTATCACGAGGTCAACCTAAACATCAACAACAAAAACTACTAACTACTATCAACATCCCCCTTTTGGGGTCCCCTGAGCATTATTTCCCCACCATTCCAAATCATTTTTCACAAAATGGCGGTGGCGGTGGATCAAACTCTGGTATACCAAGTATATACCTCGGTTCTTACACCAAGAATGGATCTTCAACACCCCCATTCACATCATGCCTAGGTGTTCGATGGTATTCACCCATGATCGAAGTGGGAACTGGGCCATCGCACCAATGGCAATGCCGCATTGCTTGCGGCACATGATGAGATCTGGATGGTGCTTCGCCATGGTGCGCCTGGCATCCAACATCATCCAACATCATCCAACATCATCCAACATCATCCAACATCATCAAACAGTATGAACTGATGTCTTTTACGAACCAACTACCCAGAGGTTCGGGTTTGCTAAAAAAGAAAGTGTGGTATACTATTTGCCATCATTTCCCTTTCTGGAGGGCCTCATGCTCAACACTCTTGCTCGATTAGTCGGTCATGTTCCAGGTCCAAAAGCATTTGATAGTTGATATCCTCCAGATCACACCATTCAACAGGGGGTTGTAAAAACTACACAATAAACGACGATATATCCATGCATCCTGCCGGAAACCCATCTTGCAAGCCATACTTCATCAATCTTCATCATGTTTCTGGCTTCCGAATCACTTTTCACGTCGGGGATGGACTAACGCACCAATCCCAGTAGCCAAACTGTCGATACCCGAGGTCTCAACCTGTTCTGTGTGCGCCCCTCGAACCAAAACTCAGCTCTGGAGCCGATAAATGGCGCCATCATGCCCCGCATCGTGGACTTATCCCTTGGAAATCAAGAAATTGACACCCCCAAATGGATTAATCTGGCAGTTTCCAGTAGGAGCATCGTCTTCTAGAGCCGATTTTTTGTTTCGAGTCTCTTTCCAAACAGGGGGTCACACAATGTCACACATTTCACCACTTGGTCAACATGATTCACACACAAGGCTAAGACCATGTGTTAGTCGAACACAATGCCGGGGTTTCTAGTTGGGGGCAAATTACGGTGTCTTGTGACACCAAAACAGGCTTGGGAATGTAATATATGTATGGATATTTGTATAGTGTGTGTATATATACATGTGCATATATATAATGTATAATGATGTATAATGTATATAATTGTATATACATAGTGACCTGAGTGATCCCACTTTGCCACAATTACAAAAGGATACAAAAGGAAGTGAGGGTCGGTCCTCTTCTTCCCCAGTGGCACACTTTCCGAGGCCCACCTCGAGGTATCACAAAAGCTATCTCCTACAAAACATGACGACAGTAAGATGTAGGTACCATGACTACCCATACGACAGATTCTCAAGTTTGTATCACTCACATGCCCCCCCGACATCTAAAATGCAATGGGTTTTCTTACAGTGCATGCACTAATCTTGACTCAGTCTATTACTCTACATCCACATCATTTGTTGGTAAAATATCATTATTCTTTTCTGTAAAACCACCACGGTTGCTGTTGCTTTATATATAAGCAATGGTTTCGCTGGCCAAACTTTGAAGTTCCTGGTGATATCCAAATCTCTACTGCCCAGATTTAATTAACACAGCTTTCTAGTGATTTTTTTGCTTACGTTCCCAAGTGGTTTTATATCCATTTCCCTTGTCTAACAACCCATTTCGTCTATCCACTTAAAACATCTTAAAACTGCACTTCTGGCGGTTCCAGACCACATTTTCATCGCCCAAATCTTCATGTGATCAGTATCGATCAGTTTGGTTTCTCGAATTCCCAGATTTTCTGTTAGCT